GACTGACCCTGGAGTAGGCTGACGGGAGCCAACGGAAGGGAGATTTGGCGAAGGATGCATGCCAGATGTCAGGTAGGGTGGGGGGTCGGAGTGCATCATCTGGGAAGAACCCCATCATTATACGGAATGGCTAGCAGGCCTTGCCACATCGAAAAACCAGGTCCGTAACAAAAAAACACAAATACTCAAGTAATTTACCATTTTCTATTTCGTACATAATTTTTACAGGCATACATACATATCTACCAAAAAATTGCCGGAAGGTTCGTAGGGATATGCCATGACTAAAATGTAGTCTTATAGCCTAATGCCATTGCCGCATTAGTGGACTTTTTAAATGTGCCTGATTCCATTGGCGCATTAGCATTTAGCTAATGCTACTCCGACATGTAAGTGGCATGAACAGATGAGTTTGTTTACTTTTGAAGTTTGGCAAATCCAAAAGAAATTAAATAAAATTAATGAACATGAGTGAGTTTACTAAACTCTGTAATGCTCAGCAGGACATCCATAATGCGACCGAGGCATTTGCCAACTTGGCCGACAAGGAAGAGAAGCTGATTGAGTTGTTATGACGGGTTTGCACCACAGTTTCTAAAAAGGATCCCCGTATATGTGAGAGTTATTTTATTCCAGAGATCCAGGAGTAATGCATTGTGGTACTGCGAGCAGAATTCGCAGCGTGCGCTCTAGGTTTCACTCATTTTTATACAAAATAGATTTTATATTCAAAAGACATCAAAAATTGCGCCAACCTTGCAAATAGAAAACAGCTGATGTAGTGGTGGCACGAACAAAATATCGTTAAACATCGGTATTTTCCGGTATTTAGTCTAAAAACGTTCGGAGCGAATGGTTTTTAATCGCATTTATTTTAAATGCGGCATTTAGCCTTATGGGATTCCCTGTGTAAATAAATGCGCATTAGGCTAAATAATTTTAGAAGCTTAAGATAAATGTACATAACCTTTTTTTTATAAATGATCTGAACATTTTTTGTGTGAAACTTGTATTTTGTTGTTTTGTATATGATTTTAAACTTTGCTTTATCAAAGCGGTCGCTTCCGTTCTCAGATTTAAATTATTTGTTTAATTTATGTTTTATAACTAAACAATAACTTTTATATGTAAATTTGTATTAGAGATTGACAAACAACTTTTATTTTCCATTGGTCACTGATCATCGTTAGATTTCTTACGGTAGATCAGCTGAATGCGTGTGATCACTGATAGATTTTTTACGATAGTTCTGCTGAATACGTATGATCACTGATCATGTTGCAAACATTATATCATCATGATCAGAAAAAAAGGAGCGTCAAAAATAGTACGCTATCTTTTCTTGATACATGACACATATCTGCTAGCCTATATAAATGGTGTAAATATCGATAAGAATAAACTGAAAAATAAGAAAGTAAACAAAACAAAAAAAAAAAACAAGCAAAAATTAATTAATAAATGCGTAATGTATCATAAGGGTTCAGCAGAACAAACTTGATCACTGATTACTGATTACGCCCAATATTACATCAAAAAGTGAATACACAATTATTAATAGCAGAGAACACCACAGATATTGACGAACTACTCTTATTTTTTATTATTAAGCCTAGTACTCAGATCAATGAAATCCTTACGCCAGCTATGAGAGAGAACGAGAGGCAAACACAAGGCGTACACTTTTCTTTAGTGCATTTGTTCACCCCGGTACTCAGATCGACGAAAAATACCTGAAAATTGTATGGCGTTGTCAGATTTCTATGGGTAAACGCACGCCAGGCCCCGGCGTAAATACAAAATTTAGTCTTTTGTAGTTGGAGTTAACAGACCATAGTATTTATCGGATCAAAAAATGGACGGAAAACCCCAAAAATTTCTGCAAAATGTACTATAATAATACAATGTTGACGAGAAAATATTCCCGATCCATTTATATACCATTTTTGTTGAACGCGGTCCAAAATAGAGCTGCAAACGTTTGTAAAGATTGTGTCTTATAATTTTATATTCGGATTCCAAAGGCCTAAATGCCTGATGCTCATTTATTTACACAGGGAATCCCATTAGGCTGAATCCCGGAAAATACTGATTTCTAACGATATTTCGTTAGTGCCACTACTATAACTGCTGGGTTTTATGCAAGGACGGCTATATTTGTGATTTATGTTGTAAACACAATCAAAGCATCAGACACAGACAACGCACACTATAAAAATCCACGCTGAAAATTTTGCTTGCCATTCGGTTGTATGAACTTTGCGCTAATTAGTGTATTTTAGAGTCAGACTATTTTTTGTATGTGTAAAGCACGAAGTGCTTCACGTGCATTTTGTTTGAAATTTACATACTCCACATATCAATTCTGACATGTTTAGCACTGGTTGAACAGGTGAGTATAAAGCATATGCTTTCCACTTTGTTTTATAGCCTAATTCCATTGCCGCTTTAGTTGACTTTTTAAATGTGCCTGATTCCATTAAGCTAATGCTGCTCCGACCAGTGTGTGGCACGAACAGTTGATCTAGTTTGTTTACTTTAGAATTTTTGCAAATCAAAACAAAATGAATTAAAAATCATGAATAAGAACTAGTTTAAGGATATCTTTATTGCCCAACAGGACATCCATAATGGGACGGAGGTATTGCCCACTTGGACGACAAGGAAAGGGATCTGATTTGACAGGTTTGCAAAGGAGACCACTACAGTTTCTAAGAAGAGCACGGATCCTCGTATAAGTGGGAGTTATTTCCTGTTGGAGATTCAGCAGTAATGTATTGTGGTGCTACGACCAGGATTTTTTGCGTGTGCTTTTGATTTCAGTCGTTTTTATGCAAAGAAGATTTTACATTCGAAAGAAATCAAAAATAGCGCCATCCTTGCATATAGATACCAGCTGTATTAGGGGTGGCACTATCGAAATATTGTGAAATATCAGTAGTTCCGGTATTTTTTCTCAATATGTACGGGGCAAATCATTTTTAATCTCATTTATTTGTCGCATTTATTTTAAATGCGGCATTAACTTTTATGGGATTCCCTGCGTAAATAAATGGGCATAAGGCTAAATGCGTTTTGATTGCGCCAATGGAATCCGGCTATTTTTTTAGGAACCCTGCTAAAAACAGCTGGACGGTGGAATAGAGGTGGTAAAATATCGATAGTGGCCCCGTTCATTATTTTCGATGTTTTGGGTGCAAAAATTCGATACTGTCGATAAAGCGTTTTTTGTACGGTTCTTTATACAAATTTAAATTCAGAGCAATCTTTATTGTGTGTATCATATTTTATTTATTTATTAGCGTACTACTTAAAACTACCACCATTTTTATTAGAAAATTTATATAATTAAATTATAATATATAATTTTTTGCATTTTTTCTGCCCAAACTTCTGCAACCAAGACTCATGTTTTTAGCTAAGTTCAGTGATGTACAAAAAAAGCTCAGTACCATCGATAGCGACAAAAAACTATCTATTATGGCTTAGGGAAAAATTCGATGCCTGGTTTATGCCTTCGATAGGTTTCCAGCTCTACGGTGGTATATGTGGAGAAAAAATTGGGACGGCCAGCTTTATGCAATTCGAAATTAAAAAAAAAAAAGAAAGAAAGCAAACTTCGGCAAGCCGAAGTTTATATACCCTTGCAGCTATTGCAAGAAATAAATACTTTTGAAAACATTAAAATTATGATTTACTTGCGTATATGTTTAAAAACATTGAAGCTATGATAATTCGCAGCTAATTGATAGCTATTTTATGTATTTTTATTATTTCTATGGGAGCTATATGATATAGTCGTCCGATTATATTAAAATTTAAAACATAATTCTGAAATATTTAATCATTGCTATATGTCGAAGAACTAAACAAAAAATTAAAAAACAGAAAAGTTATAATTTTTTTCATTTACTTTTCCGATTGTTCCTATGGGAGCTATATGCTATAGTCGTCCGATTTTAATGAAATTTGAACCGTAAATCGAAAATATTTAACCATTACTAAATGTCGAAGAACTAAACAAACAATTAAAAATCATCAAAGTTATAATTTTTTTCATATATTTTTCCGATTGTTCTTATGAAAAATATAAACGGACGGACAGACAGACATGGCTAGATCGACTCCACTAGTGATGCTGATCAAGAATATATATACCTTATAGGGTCGGAAACGTCTCCTTCACTGCGTTGCAAACTTCTGACTGAAATTATAATACCCTCTGCAAGGGTATAAAAAACATTTGATTTTTTATGTTTGGAACAATAAATCCCTGCATATAACGGAAACAATAATTTTTACAAAATGTTTGGTTTTTATCTGTATCTTTATCTTTGGACTCGATGTTCTGATATTAAAAAATTTAAAGGATTTCGTAATAGTATTGCTAAATCTAGTAATTAATCAAAGGAATAAGCACTTAAGTTTTTCTAAAGTTTGAAGGTTTTTCCACCAAAAAATTTATATATGGGCCAAATTTCGGTCTGAAATTGAGAAAAAAATAATTCCATTAATTACATAAAAATATATTAAAGAAAATAAAAAATCCTTTTTTGTAAAATTCTAACTGAATGTAAACCCTTAAGCTATATCAAACAAGTTAAATATAGCTTCTCCATAGCTAGCTGAAAATAAAGTTTGAGGTTGCAGGTTCGAGATCCAGAAGTTCTTGTTAAGAAACGAAGTTATAATGAGTATTTACACTGAGTATTTGCTTAAGAGACTTACCGCGCAAGCACCAATAAACACCCACATGAGACACGCTTTAAATAGCCAAATGTAAAATTGTACAACCTTTAATGAGTTTACCACTATCGTTTACTATCGAATTTAAAACCTCGGTAGTGTTGCTAAACTAAAATATTCGTTATATCGATACTATCATGAGTGGCCGACCCTGCTCTACATAATCATTGACGGTAGTCGGTGTGAATAAGACATTGCTTTTAGATGTTATTGTTGGATTTGTGCAGCACTGATCTGGGCTGAAAAAAATTGTTAACAGTGTTGAGAAATAGGCATGCTTGACAACAAATGTCACCTCAAGTGCGGAACAAAGTTAGAAATCAAGCAGAGCACAAGAATTTTTGTTGTCTGTTGTTTAAAGCGAACCTGAGTTGAGTTCGCCGGCTAATTGAGACGAAAATTATTATACCCTTCTTGGCAAACACTTAAATAAATTCAAAAATGAGTGACGACTTTCTAAGTAAACCATTCTCTCTAACGGCCGCACCAGTCGGTAAGTAAAGAAACTATTTTTTTGTGGTTACGCAAGTGACTCGCTTGTTTCTTAGCCGACCTTAATATTTTTTTTCTGATTAATTGTTAAATGCGTTTACCGCTCCTACAATGCACTGCAGTTGATGAAGCAGCAACAACCAAATACACTCCGGTTATGAGCTCATTTAGTAATGCTCCGGTTTCGCCGTATCTGAACTATGATTCGCGATTCCTTCAGCAATCTCAACCTGAGTTCATCTTTCCCGAGGGAGCCAACAAACAGCGTGGACGCTTTGAGCTGGCCTTCTCACAGATAGGCACTTCGGTTATGATTGGAGGTGGAATTGGAGGCCTCGCCGGCGTCTATAACGGTTTTAAAGTTACAAAGGCGCTCAATCAGACGGGAAAATTACGGCGAACACAGTAAGTAAACTGTCTAAGGGTGTTATTATTATTAATGTTTCTCAACGTTAAGGTTAATAAATCATATTATGAAGCAAGGCTCAGGCACGGCAAACACGCTGGGTACACTGGCGGTGCTCTATTCGGCAACTGGGGTGTTGTTGCAGTTTGTTCGTGGTGAGGATGATCACGTCAACACAGTGGTAGCAGGGTCTGCGACAGGGCTGCTGTACAAGTCAACAGGTAAGCATAATAGCTTTAAATTATGGTTTAACATCTTGAAAGCGTTACATCCAAATTTGCAGCTGGCCTTCGGGGATGTGCACTTGGAGGCGCTATTGGGCTAGGCATCTCGTCGCTCTATTGCTTATACTTGTTAGCGCAAGATAAAAGCACAAACTCAAGCCAAAAATTCCAGTAGACGGCTTAGCTTTCCAGCACGAATAAATCTTTTATGCTGTAATTAATCAAGTAATTTGAAGTTTTGTTTTTTGTTACAAATAAATATTTCTTAAGGTTGTCTGTACGTTAAAGTCGTTCTTTATTCAAATGACCAGACTTAATACAAAATTCTTTGATGCTAACAGAATACACTTAAAAAACAAATAGTCGTCCGTGTTATGTGCAATTATGCATATTGTATGTGTATAAAGCCACCACATTGCAATAAATTATTACATTTCGTATCAACCACTACGCGAGCCCTAATAGTCTAACTCTTCGGTATCGGCTCCTACGATAACGGCCTTGCTACCACCCTCCATTACGTTATTGGCTGGAGCTTCGCAACTAGTATCCTGCGAGGAGCACGTCTGGCAGTGACAATTTACTGCCTCCATATACTGGTAATTGCTAACACTTGCCTCCGCCTTAGGGTGACAGTTTTTGAGAATAGCTACCATTGGTTGGCGCTGTGCGTGGACACAGACTGGATGAAACGAGCGCTTGTAAGGGAACTTCCAATCGGATATCTCGCTAGAGTCGCACCGCCCCCAGCACGACCAGACACTTACATAGTCCCAGCACTCGTGACCCATAAGATCGGACTGCGTCACTTTATATGTATACACGCGACGATGGCAGCCCAAGGGAGCAGATGTTGGTCCGCTGTTAATGGGCTCAAGTTCCACCAACTTTGAAGCGGAAACACGCAGCATATACGTTCCCGTTGAGAGAGCTAGAAACCTAAAATAGAGAAAAAAAAAACGCGGGTCTATCACCACAGCATTCTTTTTATTTCAGACAGCCTTACAAAACTGCGCAGCCAACCATTATAGTTTGCGTTGTGGCGGAATTCCCTAACAACTGCTTTGGTACCAAGTAACATCGCCTATTTATACATTGTCTGTCTACTGAGTTTGCGCTGCCAGCAATAGCACCAAACAGCGGTTTTCCCCCTTAATGCGGCCGAAAATAGATAGTTTGTGTTGAAGACTTTACTTTGCATATTTCGATTCGTTTTACTTCGTATCTCGGCAGTTACCATTCTGGATTCGTATTAATTAAAGCGCCTTGTTTACTACTGTTAATATGCGATTTAATGTTGAAATAAAATCTGCACAAAATTAAACATTTTTTGGTAGGAGGTTTGGTTTATGATTATCTCCAGTTGCAACGCAAACTACTAAACTGTTTTAAACTTTTCATATATTATATAAACGTACATTTACTTAATACATTTTAGTTATGGTTTTTAATAAACGGATACGGAAGCTAGCTAATTTTGATTTGGAGAGTTTCAATTAGTTTCACTGCGAGAAACTCGGCATAGAACCGCATTCTGATGTCAGTGAGATATGTAAATGGCAGCTTTATCAACCGATTTTGATCAAAAGTTTTAAATTAAGTTTATAACTTGTAGCCAGATAAGAATTTAATCCATTGGTGGAATGAAAAAATAAATGAAATTTAAGGGGTAGGTTCTAAATACTATAAAAATATATTTTAAGTCAAAAACAAAAATGCACTTAAATGAAAACAGATTATCTATGTACATTTTACGCTGCGCTAATAATCGTCATAAAACCGTATGTGGCTGCTATAGGATATAGTGTAACGAATACCGTTTGCCAGGCTGGTGTTCAATCTTTCGTTCGCAGTGCACCCTTTTGCTGACCAATAAAAATATAAGAAAAATAAAATTTAGTTTTTCCGTAGAGTATTTTTTTGGTTTCAGTAAATTTTCCAAAGTATTGGGTATTTATTGGGTAATTTCATCATTTATAGCGATGAAATGTTACCCCAATCTTTAATGTATTGATTTAGACTTCATCTATTCAGAATACTAAGAATTGATTGACTTTACAGAGAATATGCCCCAAAAACAATATGCTAAAAATGGAAAACAACCTTGTTCTTTGAATAAAAAAGTTTATATGTATAACTTACAAGTTTTTAGTGAAAACCATAATTTAATAAGAAAATTAATGGTTTAAATAATATAAGCATTAATCCGATTCCATCTCAGTTTCGACTTCGCTTTTGTCGCTTTCACTTACTGCTGCTTTTAAGAGAGTTAAATTTTTTTTTTGTGTCGACTTCCGTTTAGTTAATATTATGAATCGGAGCTAGTCAAAATCAACATTCAAAATGCCATGGTTGCTCTTCACTCTATCCTTTTTTTTTTAAATAACATTCTCTCTCTTTTTGAAGTCCTTGTTCCGAGCATTATTGTAACTTCCAAAACTGGGCTTTGGAACATCTTTAACTATTTTAGTCGCATTAATATTACCACATTTCTTCAACTGGGCTTGCGTTGCAAAAGCTTATTTCGGGAAAAAAGTGATCTCTCTTTAAGTTCTGGCCCTCTTTAAATTGGCATCTACGCCACATTCCTCAAAAGAAAGTTCCCTAAGGAAAATTTTTACTTAAGGCGGTATTCTGGTCCAGAAATTTGAAAAAATCAATTTTTCTTTGTATTTTATGTTTTAACTTTAAAATATATGATCCTTTAAAGATTTTTGAACATTCGAATTATGGGGTCCTAGCCATTATAAATGTTTCCTAAACCTTAAACGCTTTTTTTTCGAAACTACTTTTTTGAGGTGGTTGACATAATATTTCAAGTTCTACTGAACCGATTCCATTGAAATTTGGTATATATCTTGCTTACACTACTTTGACTTGAAAAAATTGTAAAATTAAAATTATAAGTATTTTTTAAATATTCGAAATGGTCGAAAGTGTCAATAAAACCCATATACAAAATTGTATATTACTTGAAAAAAATCCAAAAATTCAGGCTTTTAGACCAGAATACTCCCTAAAATAAAATCTTTGACTTTATCCATTCCGTATAGGAATTGACAAATCGACTGTGGTTCCATACATTGTACAGTTTATTCGAATTTTTTTTTGTATAAATAAAAATAAATAAAAACTAAAAAAAAAAAATTTTAAAATAGTTAAGGGTTAATATTTATACCCTTGCAGAGGGTATTATAATTTCAGTCAGAAGTTTGCAATGCAGTGAAGGAGACATCTCCGACCCTATAAAGTATATATATTCTTGATCAGCATCACTAGGCGAGTCGATCTAGCCATGTCCGTCTGTCCGTCCGTCTGTCCGTCCGTTTATATGCAAACTAGTCTCTCAGTTTTAAAGCTATCTGCATGAAACTTTCCCAAAAGTTGTCTTTCTATTGCAGGTAGTATATAAGTCGGAACGAGCCGGATCAGACGACTATAGCATATAGCTCCCATAGGAACAATCGGAAAAATAAATGAAAAAAAATTAAAACTTTTCTGTTTTTTAATTTTTTGTTTAGTTCTTCGACATATAGCAATGGTTAAACATTTCAGAATTATGGTTTGAATTTTATCAAAATCGGACGTCTATATCATATAGCTCCCCTAGAAATAATAAAAATATGTCGCAGTTCTCAGAAATATTTGAATTCGATGAACGCTGAAGTTATTTGGCGCCCCGATTTGGTTGTCGCTTAGCATAAGCAGCTGGTTCCTGGTAAAACATGGATTCTAGGAATTCCTGCTCTAGTATTTGAAGGGTGGTCAGTTTTGAATTGGGCTCTTGGTGCGATCGGGACTTACTGCGCAATCGAAATGGCAGACCATGAAAACACTCCTTCTCCGTTATCAGAAGTGGGATCGGCCTTGCCACAGGACAATGAAAGTGTTATAGCTGCATTAGAAGCTCAAAATCGTGCCTTGTTGGAACTTGTGAAATCAATGAACACACCGCGAGTGCCATTAACGGAAGTTAAACCGAATTCCATATCATTGCCGAAATTCGACCCTGATAGTGCGGGCGCGGATGCAAGTGCGTGGTGTAATACAGTTGCATTAATATTTGCTGAAGACAATCTACAAGGCAGTGCTCTTGTCATGGCACTCAGCAAAGCTATGCAAGGAAGTGCTTCCCAGTGGTTGGCACAAATTTGTTTCAGCGGCATGACATGGCCGCAATTCCAGGAATTGTTTGTGCAACGATTCGTTGGTATCGAGACCCCGGCAGCGACGTTGATGAACATCTTTAATGGGCGTCCAAATCCAGGAGAGAATTTACCCGAATACGGAAGCCGCCTGGTGACGTCGCTAAGGTCAAAATTCAAATCAATTGAATTGGAAGAGCTCATCGTATCCATCGCATCTTACAAACTTGGATGCTCGCCTTTTAAAGTCAATGTTTACGGGCGCTGTTAAAACCCGCAACGATCTGCAGCAACAATTAAAGGCGTATGCGTATTTAAAACGCAACGAATCCTTTGGAAACGAAGTCGAAAGGAAGAAAATGAAACTACCATCTCTAGTGAAGTGTCATCACTGTGGGCGTCTTGGCCATAAGATTGCGGATTGTCAAAAAAGGCGAACGGACGAGAGACAACGGACCACCTCAACTCCAGGACAACAACAACGCGCAGTCAACAACAGGACCTGCTTCAAATGTGGGGAGTTCGGGCACTATGCTTCGGAATGCCCACGTAATCGACATAATCTCAAGGAAGTCGAGATTAACAAAAGAGTAAACTTGGTGGCCATAGAACCAAAGGGAGTTTTGAAACAATTTGGTGAGTCTATTCCATTTTGTTTTGATTCAGGCGCTGAATGTTCTCTTGTAAAGGAAAGTGTAACAGCGAAGTTACAAGGAAAGCGTCAGTCTAGCACAGTGGTTTTAAGGGGCATCGGAAACGAACCGGTGTGGAGCACAGTACAGATAATTTGTAATGTTAATATAAACGAACATTTTCTTGAAATATTGTTTCTCGTTATTATGGATACTTTTATGAATTTTGATATTCTTATTGGAAGAGATATTTTAAGTCAAGGCTTCGGAGTCGTAATTGAAGCAAATAAATTTGTTATTTATAAGCCTAAAATGGTACAAGCACTGTCGTATGAATTAAATCTGAAAAATCGTTTTAATTTTAATAAAGATTTAAGTGAGCTTGATAAAGAAAAATTAAGTGAAATATTAGAAAAATATTCCAAATCATTTATAGTGGGCATTCCACACACACGAGTAACAACAGGGCTGCTCAGCATACGGCCCATTGATCCACATAAGACTGTTTAGCGTCGCCCATATAGACTTAGTGAAGAAGAAAAGGCTAATGTTAGGGAAATGATTAACGAATTATTGTCTGCAAAAGTTATACGTCCTAGTAGTTCCCCTTTTGCTAGTCCGATGATGCTGGTCAAGAAGAAGAACGGTTCAGATCGTTTATGCGTAGACTACAGGGAACTAAACACAAATACGGTGGCAGATAAATACTCGTTACCACTTATAGCTGACCAAATAGCCCGTATGAGGGGAGCTAGTTTCTTTTCTTGCTTAGATATGGCTAGTGGCTTTTATCAAATTCCAGTTCACCCGGACTCGGTCGAACGTACTGCATTTGTAACGCCCGAGGGGCAGTATGAATTTCTCGCCATGCCATTTGGGTTAAAGAACGCTCCATCGGTGTTTCAACGTGCAATAATTAATGCTTTGGGACCATTAGCCCATACCTATGTTATTGTTTATATTGACGACGTTTTGATAGTTGCAGAAACGAAAGTTCAGGCGGTACCTCAGTTAAGACAATTCATAGGATTGGCTTCCTACTTCCGGCAGTTTGTGCCAAAATTTTCAGAGTTATTAAAACCATTATTTCTACTAACTTCTCAAAATGCAAGGAACTTACATGGAAAGACGAACATGAACAACTTAGACAGAAAGAAATTTTGACAAGTTCTCCAGTATTGACCATCTTCGATCCCAAACACCCTGTCGAGTTGCATACAGATGCAAGTATGGTTGGTTATGGTGCCATTTTGATGCACCGAATAGATAAAAAGCCGTATGTAATCGAGTATTTTAGTAAATGCACAACTCCAGTCCAAATACCATTTTTACGAGTTAGAAACTCTCGCAGTGGTGAACGCCGTTAAACATTTCAGGCATTAGTTGCAGGGTCTCGAATTTGTGATTTTAACGGATTGCGATTCATTAAGGGCTAGTCGTTCCAAGACCACATTGACGCCGAGGGTACACCGGTGGTGGGGGTACTTACAGGCTTTTCAGTTTCGCATTGAATATAGGAAAGGGGAGAGAATGGCTTATGCTGATTTTCTGTCTCGGAATCCTCTACCCGCCCAAAAAAACTCCCA